GAACAATTAAAAATGAACAAAAAGCATTCGAATGGTATTTAAAATCAGCAGAGTCTGGAGTTCCTCGAGCACAGTTTAATCTTGCTTCTTGTTATAAAAATGCCTGCTGTAAAAAAAAAACCAAAGTCTCAAAGAAATATTACGATTCCAAGAAAAAGGAGTTTGAATCTAAATTCGACCATATTAGTTGTATTGAAAACTTCCCATTAATTAACAAGACGAAAGGCGCATTCTTCCTATTGGTCAAAGACAAAATTAAAATCGATAATGAGGAAGAACATGACAAATTTGATGACAAGGAAGAACATGACAAATTTGACGATGAGGAAGTACATGACAAATTTAATGACACGAAAGGCAAATTTGAAAAAAGATATCCTAATGCTTTTAACGTGCTGCACTTGAGCAATCTGAATATTATTAGTAAATTTCCTACAATCAGAAATAAAGTGAAAGCAGTAATCAATTATATCGCGAAAATTGAAAGGATAGAGGTTTTGAGTGATCTCACAGGGATGAAAGGAATTAAAAGTAAAACCATCGAAAATATAATTAGGTTACTTCCAAAGTTCGAAAATAAATTGCAGAAATTACAGGAACTAGAAAACAAGATGAAAGGCAGATTTAAAAAAAATATCCTTATGCTTTTAACGTGCTGCACTCGAGCAATCCAAATATCATTAGTGAATTTCCTAGAATTGGAAATAAAGCGAAAGCAGTAATCGATTATATCGCAGAAATTAAAAGGATAGAGGTTTTGAGCGATCTCACAGGGGTGAAAGGAATTAAAAGTAAAACCATCGAAAATATAATTAGGTTATTTCCGAAGTTTGAAAATGAATTGCAGAAATTACAGGAACTAGAAAACAAGATGAAAGGCGGATTTAAAAAAAATATCCTTATACTTTTAACGTGCTGCACTCGAGCAATCCGAACGTCGTTAGTGAATTTCCTAGAATCGGAAATAAAGCGAAAGTAGTAATCGATTATATCGCGGAAATTAAAAGAATAGAGGTTTTGAGCGATCTCACGGGGTGAAAGGAATTAAAAGTAAAACCATCGAAAATATAATTAGGTTACTTCCGAAGTTCG